TTCCCGAAAGTGGACAGTGCATAAAATATGCACAAAGTATAAAAAGTTACAGAAATACGAAAAATACAAGAAGACACACAAATGACTATTCACTATAAAATAAAAGGGAATAAAAGACAGAAGTAAAACTTTACCAGGATTTACCCTGCGACTGGAGCAAGTCAGTAAAGTCAGCAATCCGTTGGTCGATCAACCAGCTCCATACGAATTTCAATGTCCCAATGCCTGGGTACTCAATTTATGGGGATATGGACGTAGGCGGGACATTAGTCTTCGGCCAGTTGACCCTGGGGGCTGCTCGTGTACCTGCCCACAGGATGTTCTGGGTGCTGACCTGCCCAAGTTCAATCGGGCCAAGACCGGCTTAAAACACCAAGTCGGGGATTGGATTTCCTACACCAGCGCATCAGTCCGATCGCGACAGTACCAAACACTGTTTAACTGTCGCACTCCAGCGCCACCTAACCATTTCCTGCATTTTCCTGGCCTTCTACCTAATTCACACAATATGGTTTTCATACGTCGGTGTGGCGCACAGTGTGCACTATTAGAAGGAAGTATTTCCATCTCTCTGCAACTAATATTTTAGCTTTTATGAGAGATGAAACATACCCCTTTGATGTATGGATATACTGTTAGCTCCCTAGATGGATCGAGCCCCCCTGCTGTCATGAAGCTGAAATATCTTGAGCCATTTCCTTTAAACCGGTTTCCCCAGAAGGTGACACAACCTTATTAGCACTTAGGTGTCACATCCAGAGGAAGCTGGAAGTCTTTTCAGACGCTAATTGATGACCCTCTGTGTCTGAGTACCTCTGACTGAATATATCTTTAATAACAATGGAATGCAACTATGGTTACGATTACATATTGCTACTGATCACATCTTATCTACTCAAATCTGTACATTTATGTCACCTGTACGTGTTACATTATGTCACATGTACGTTACAGTAGGCAAGACACACTTGTCTGTACTCCTCACCTGGTTGCCGCGACACACACTTGACACCTTCTGAACCAGATAAGTTTATCTTGATCTCATCAGACCACAGGACATGGTTCCAGTAATCCATGTCCTTAGTCTGCTTGTCTTCAGCATACTGTTTGCAGACTTTCTTGTGCATCATCTTTAGAAAAGGCTTCCTTCTGGGATGACAGCCATGCAAACCAATTTGTTGCAGTGTGTGGCATATGGTCTGAGCACTGACAGGCTGACCCAAAGACAACCTCTGGATTAGATGCTCAGCATGTGCACTCAACTTCTTTGGTCGACCATGGCGAGGCCTGATCTGAGTGGAACTTGTCCTGTAATGGTCTTGGCCACCATGCTGCAGCTCAGTTTCAGGGTCTTGGCAATCTCTTTATAGCCTAAGCCATCTCTATGTAGAGCAACAATTCTTTTTTTCAGATCCTCAGAGAGTTCTTTGCCATGAGGTGCCATGTTGAACTTCCAGTGACCAGTATGAGAAAGTGAGAGTAATAACACCAAATTTAACATACCTGCTCCCCATTCACACCTGAGACCTTTTAACACTAACAAATCACATGACACCAGGGAGGGAATATGGCTAATTGGGCCCAATTTAGACATTTGCACTTTTGTTGCCAGTGGCTTAGACATTAATGGCTGTTTGTTGAGTTATTTTGAGAAGACAGCAAATGTACACTGTTATACAAGCTGTACACTCTCTACTTTACATTGTAGCAAAGTAATTTCTTCAGTGTTGTCACATGAAAAGATATAATAAAATATTTACAAAAATGTGAGGGGTGTGCTCACTTCTGTGAGATACTGTACATATATATATATATATATATATATATATATAAAAACGTTTTCCACATAGCAAGCCCATAAAAGGATGTCACACAGAGGCACAGCGGATGTAGTATAGACAAGCAGCCAGAGTATATATGACAAATGATCAGCGAGCAACTGAATACATTACAAGAATACAATTACTGGTTCAAAAATAATACATGGGATCCTTTAAAAGTAAAGAAAAAAAAAAAAACAAGAAAATCTATTCACCATGTGTGCTGTGTCAGTTTCCTAATAAAAAGTGAAATGTTGAAATAAAAAAATATAGTGTGTCATGTGGTTTTGTTATAGATCAGGGGTCTCCAAACTTTCTAAACAAAGGGTCAGTTCACTGTCCTTCAAACTTTAGGAGAGCCGGACTGTGGCCAGCGAGAGCAGAACATGGTATTAGGGGGGAATAGTTTCCCATTATTGGTATCAGTGAGAAGAATAGTGCCCCATCATTGGTGTCAGTAGGAGGAGTAGTGCCATGTCATTCCTATCAGCGGGAGGAATAGTGCCCCATCATAGGTGTCAGTGGGAGGAATAGTACCCCATTACTGGAGTGAGTGGGAGGAATAGGGCCCCATTGTCAGTGTCAGTGGAAGAACCACATCTGGACCCAGGGCTGTAGTTTGGAGACCACTGTTATAGATCAAACAATGCAACAGATAAGGGCATAGGGGAGTTCAAAGGAGTAGAGTTAATAAATAACTGAGAGAAGGGTGTTACAGGTGTCCTAACTGGGCAGCCAAGCAATCCAAACCTTATTAAATTTCCCAGGGCACCCTCTAGCCTTATATTATATTTATACAGAGGAAAGTTTGAGTAATCATTTTTCTTCTACATACAATATTAGTATTAAGAAGATCTGTGGGTGTCCACTTAAATGCCACCATTTTCCGAAAATGTTTTTGTGTGGCACTAATATCAACATCTTCAAGAGATACCTAACAGACACCACTTAGAGTTACAAATGATGGGCAAGTTGAAGATAGTAGAGATGAAAGCAGTAATCTGAGACCAGAAAAGTCTGATTTTGTCGTAGTTCCAAACCATATGAAGGAAATCACCAGGTATTTTAAGACATTTGGTGTATCTCTATTTGCCATTTGAAATAATCACTGCGGTGTATAATATCTCCTATACAAATATCTTAGCTGAATACTTTATCTCTGGTGGTAATAACCATCTCAAAGTATGACTTAAAGAATTCTCTCCGGTTTTTCTCAGAGATATCAGGTATATCTCGTAACCATTGTGTTTGTGCTTTGAGAAGAGGAGGACATTACCCACAAAGGATTATCAGGTAGAAGGTGGATGTAAGACATGTATGAACTGATTAAAGTAGTGCTTTGTCTAATCTGGAGTTGTGGAAATTTACGCCTCAATGTCCAAATTGGGCTTTGGCAGTGCATCTGAGCTGTAAATATCTGAAATGCCAAGTCATTGAAATACCCAGTTCTTGTTGTAGTTCTGAAAAATTTTGGAAGAAACCCTGCGTGTATAGTTGGTGGACATATTTGAGGCCCCTTTGTGCCCACCGTGGACCTTCTGTAAGGGTAAAAAATGTGGAAGTGTAAGGTTAAACAAAATAGGTTGATTGGGAGAATTATCCTGATCAGATTCAGACATACACTGGGTATATATTTTAACCAAGACTTTTAGTGTAGCAGTGCCCAATACAGTAGGAAGAAGGTGTCTATAAATGAGGTTAACTAACATCTCAGAGCTGACTACAGCAGCTTCCGTCAGGGTGGCCCTATTGTTCACTTGAGGGAAAAGCCACCCACTGGCTAATAAAAAAAGATTCATACATGGCCAGCATTAGACAGTTGAAACAAACCATTTAACACTGACAGGGGTGCTGGAGTTTACGTTCTTAGTCACTAATGTAAAGTCCATATAAATCTGCTAGTCCATCCAACTCCACCCTCTCTACTGATTAACAATGCCACTTTTCAAGCGTGGCTACGTTGCTGCTTCATGGATACAGTGACAATTAATGTAGCCACCCTAAGGCAGGAGGTATGTTACTGGCCAATCACCAAGTTAAAATAAAGGAGAAAAGCCCGCCAAAAAATAAAAATAATGGAGCCACCACAACCAATGATTGGTAAGCTACATCTAAGAACTGACAAGCTGCAATATTATAATTTCTTGATCTTGGGTTTAGATACACTTTATATTAGTCATTCATATGCCTTTTTTTATCAGTGGAAGACATTCCTTGTCATGATCCAGGCAAGAGTGAGTGAGTCTGGATTATATTTTCACTTATTTTTAACATCACAGTCATGATCCAGCCAGGGAAAATGTGATACAGAATATATAGGATAAATATACAGGACAACCTAATAATATCTAACAATACAGTGTCAAAGGAAGGCCAAATTCTTCATGAATGTACCTCACAATGAGGAGGTCATTTTGATCCTGTTTGTTCTTACAGCTCTAAACAATGCAACCATAGCCCAATTACCACTGTTTAGAGGTAAACAGATCTCACCTTACCTGAGACAAATGTGTTTATTCCAATCTTCAAAATTTTGAAAACTGTAATAACCCATAACTCCCATGATACAACACACAGTTATAAAACGTTCTAGCTATGCCAGCTGTAGGGTAATACTGTATATGGGGGAATTATTTATTTTTGGGTCTTTTTACATTGATACTGATTTTACTAAGTTTAAAGAACAAGTATTTGCAGAAGAACATGACAGAAAGACAGTGGGAATCATTACCTTTACTGTCAGATCTATAATTCATAACTAGACACAGCTAGGGGTTTTTGAAGACTATTGTTAGCAAAATCAAACGTATGCTAATTAATATACAGTGGCCAGCCCTTCCACCCAAATGTACAGTCTGGGTGGGTGGCAACTCACTTTGTCCTTCAAGGTATACAAATGGAGATCTGCAGTTATTCTGGGTCATATCTAAGGGGTCTCATCTATGTGGGGGGTATGGTCTGTGTGTTTCATCCAGCCCCGGAAGCAGAAGTTGTATTACTTTTATTTTTAACACTATGTGCTTGTGTATGGCTCACTTTGTAACTTTTTTGACTTTCTATGCACTGCATATCTAGGAATATTAAATTAAAAAAAATGAATAAGCTGTTTTTGATAGCTCCAAATAGCACAGAAATCTGATGAGACTATTCTGTGTTTAGCTGTACTGTATAATTAGTGCCTCAGTGTAGGCCATTGCCAATCTATATGAAATTGCATTGTGTAGCTGAATCCTTGTGTTATGTGCTGTCAGGGCTGGGTTCCTGCCACTTAACAAGCAGTTGTTTTCTTTCAGTGCTCAGAAGCTGCTAAGCTGTCAGTTAATTACCAGCAGGGGCAGACTGACCATTTGGAAACTCGGGCACTGCCCGAGGGCCCAGGGTCAGTAGGGGGCCCCATGAGATGCCCCTGGTACCTTTTTCATAGGCTTTTTTGAGTCTGGGCAAGGACACAGGGGCCCCATGATCCCCTATTGCCCGGGGGCCCCATGAGTTGTCAGTCCACCCCTGATTACCAGTCACTTGTTGTCTCCACAGTGACTCACAAGAATACCGTTACCTGCCTCATTAGTCCAGCCTACAGCCACTCATTTTTGCTATTTTAGCAGCTTAGCTCATTTTCTCCTTGCCCTTGCGTGGTGTATGATCGCCAGTGTGTTCCTGCCTGTGTTCCTGTGTACAACTTGTTATGGCTGACTTCTCTTCCGGTTCCTGTTCCTGATTTTTTGCTCCTGACTATGCTGACTTCTGGTTTCCTGACCCTGGCTCATCTGATTACCTGCACTGGCATCCAAACCCTGGATTTGTCTACGTTCTGTTTTGACTACATTTCTGATCTACAGTATGTTATATTTGCTATTTCATCAAAGGTGTGATTTTAACTGCACTTTTTGTCTCTGCCTGGTTTATGGTTCCTGACACATGCATTGTAGTAGTTGACTGACAGAGAATGAGATGGCCAATACGATGGCACACAGATTAGTGTTAGTGTATTGAAGTTATTGTATCTGCCATGGGCAGGAACAAATTCATGGCCAGAGAGGAATTTATGAGTATTTATGTGGGTGGGCAATGGGAAAGATTAGACATGAGAGAATCATCTAGCTGCTTCACAACCATTAGAGTACACTGGATTGTATGCAGGATGTTTATTGCCCCCGTGTGTCCAACCAGTTACATTTTAGTAGTTTTCCTCTAGTGGTGGTTGGTGGTAAGAGAAATTTTGAAAGTGTGTTTGCAATAACACTGTAAGTGTTATTGCCTGGATTAGCTAACTTCTAGCAGCTAGTGAGGGCAATGTGTGTGTAGACTGCAAAAGCCTGTGTGCCACTCTGCTGGAGAGCAGAATGTACTGACTAGACATGTATGAGCAAGGTTCCTCACAAGCCTATAAGTTGTGGGTAATAGCAGCTTGGCTTGGTAGATGCTTTTTTTCAGCAATTGCCTGTATCTTGGGGAACTTTGGGATTCCTTTGATATTTTCCTACACGCTGGTCAGTTTCCGAGAATGTGTGATAGACGGCAATACCTCATTCGTTGTCTGGCCTCCTTTGTCCACATACCCTCAGGACCCTAATATGTGACAGATTTGAATATCAGCTTTTTTGCCATGGCTTATTTAAATGAATGGACAAGGTGACAATGTTTGTGTAAAGTTCACCATCCACCCATGTTATACTCACCTTGCCAGTGCTTCATTGCTACTACTCTTTCCTGTGTCGCAGTGACTACCAAAATACCCAGTGCAAGTTGCTGTGATAGGAGGGAGCTGTGATGTCACCAGCTCCATTATGTGAGAATGTATTATGGAAGGAGATCAAATGCTCCCCTGTTCCCAGAAACACCGGTAAGTGGTGGCCACAAACAAAGGAGCAGTGGCAGAGCACTGGAGAGGTAAGTATAAAGTAGTCAGGGGTTCCCTTTATGCAGACATTTTAAAGGTCTCTTTAAAGATATGCAATATAAGGTGTGGTGGAAGCAGTGAGGTTGCATGATACGTTTGAGTTTCCTTTTGAGGGTTCTCTGCCATAAGACCAATTCTGAGCAGAAGGCTGGTACACCAATGACTTAGTGCTTAGGGAGTGCAGCAGGAAAGAGGAAAGAGACTGAAAGGGGGAAGGTAGTGAAGAAAAAGGACAAGTTAGAGGAAAGAGATGATATGGAGAATAAAAAAATAACCTCACCCACTTTTCATTATGGTATTCTCTACAAGCTACCTATCCTGAGGTGCCCTAGGTCTTTTAGGATCTTAGCAACACCTCTGATGATCCATTCTAGATTCTAGAATGTAGATGAAGGTATTCTTGGGTGAGGGTGGTGGGGGGATGGTATACTGTGATATCTGAGAAGAAATAAATACAGTACATGCAAGTATTGCACATACATACTTCTTAGCATGCATGTATTTAGCATTAGAAAAAAATGTGATGCTAAGTCTACTTTACAAAGCATTACAACTTTTCATTTACTCACCAATTATTAGAAGAAATAAAAACATCAGTTGTTTATTTAAGACAGTTTACCGTTTCATATTTTATGCTGCTTGATTTTGTCATAGTGTTTACATGCTTTGAAGCTTCAGTAGATTCTTTACTGCTCCACTAAGGACCATAGAGACAGAAAGATGTCAGAAGGTTTCAGAAAACGTAGAGTTTAGCATTTTCCAAACCTCAGTGGGCTCATCCAATGCATGCACCAATGTTGATGAAACAACTCCTGACAGGAACAGTTCACCAAACCATCAATCACTGCAAAGTAGCATTTTACATTTGTAAGTAAAATCCTTTATATCAGGGTCAGAGTGACAACAAGAGAAAAGGGTGACATGGCTTCCTGACTGAAAGCTTCAAAAAGCAACATGAAGCTTGATTTTGTTATTTGCAAGAAAATTGTGTTTCTTTGGCCCATAGGAATCAAGATGTCCCCGTGCTATGGATTGGAGCAAGGAATTAGCCAGCTGAAACACTCTAGTATGCTTGATTAATGGGACTTTCTTGAGATTCATCCCGAAGGTTTTAAGTTTGAAATGCCTTATGATCTTTACACTTGTGGTTTCTGAACCCAAATTGCATGGTTCATGAGTAAAGTTGATCAAAGTATAATCTCTTGATGTGCGAGGCTCATGAACCAGCATTGAAATTACAGATTGCCTAGTGCTCTTGCCAACCCAGATACATCCCTAGCTGCAGTAATATATTACAGGAACATTGTTTTACTGTCTCTTACTTCTAGTCTTATAGAAAACAGATGTTTCAGGTTCACTAACGATGCAATTACTGTAAGAATGTCAATTTTTACATGATCACGATTCTGTGATTTAGCTGGCTTATATAAAAGCAATTGCATGATACAGTGTTTAGAACTCTAATCTTTAATAATGCCTTTTATGCTACTTTGCTTCTAGTTTATTAAATTTTGTGTTATATTTAAAAACATTTCAAGCAGTCACATTTCACCAATAGGAATGAGCTCCTGGTTCAGTCCAAACACAGAATCAGACCAAACTTTGCTTTTTGGCCATTTTCCAAACTCTGGACTTTCAGCCTATTCGTCAGGAACTGAACAAATCATATATTGTATACTAGTTGGTACTTCACTCCTGCTACTGTATATACAAGCTTCCTTCTTCCACCTTGGCAAGATAACCCCCTTCTCCATGTTGAGGACATGTGGTCTAGTATGGTTGAGGAGGTGGGGAATGTATGTCCATTCTCACCCTCTCCTGCATGTTCGAATGGTCTGGTATGGAATATGGGAAAGGACCCCGTGCCATTTTGTTTTTTCATTGGGTCAACCTTAAACTGTCACTAAACCCAAAACAGTAAAATCAGCCTGTATATGCAATAAAGCATGCTTGATATACTCACTGTGGAACCTAAGGGGTTATTCCTGTGCATTGCGTAAAAAATGCCGTTTGCTCCTTTCTTCTCTGTTCCTCCCCTTTTTCAAGCAACCACCTCTTATCTCCTGATAAGACAGACTGAACCATAGGCATTTCCGCATGCTCAGTTTGGTGTGTATTGCTAGAGAGTTTTGGGGGGGGGGAGTGCATGTGATCTACACAGGGCCAATTAGCACTGGTCAGACAGAGTTCAGGAGTTTTACATCCTCCTAGAGCAGAAAGAAAACTCCTCCTAAAGCTTTAGCTAGTGCTGGGCTAGACACAGATAGAAGTCACAAGACTGCTCTAACTTCTAATGAAAAAGGGTATTTAGCAGTTTATATTTACTAAAATAATTATACTTCTGTGTACTGTGGGAGACCAGATGCAGGGTCCTGGGTTTAGTAACACTTTAAAATTCATACCAGACCCAAAGGCCCTGATATGAATTATGAAGGGGAACCCCACACTGTTTTTTTGTGTGGATTCCCTAAATAACATCTATACTAGACCTTTATCTAAAGTAAAGGTCTGGTATAGATGAAAGAAATCCCCAACTGTTTGTTTACACCAAAATGTCGCTTTTGCTATAGTAGGTGGTATACATCATACAGATGTGCCACTTCACAGGCAGGTTATAGACATCCCTCAGGCATGTTATCTAACCACCTCCCGCCCGCCATATAGTAATATAATGGGCGCAAGGCGGTTCTCTCGTTCTGGGAGGGACGTCATATGACGTCCTCCCATTCTCACTGCGCATGCGCGGCTCAGGGAGCGCGCGCAGCGCGGCGATTGTGGGTGCACTGTGTCCCTCGGACACAGTGGATCACCAATCACGTAAAGAGCCAAAGATGTCGGCTCGGTCATGTGATCAGCTGTGTCCAATCACAGCTGATCACATGTAAATAGGGAAATGCCAGTTATCGGCATTTCTCTCCTCTCGAGCTGTCACGCTGACAGCTCGAGAGGAGAGGAGAGCCGGTAATCGGCTTTCCACGGAGTGTGCCCTGATGATCAGTGTAGCCCCAGCAGTGCCTTATGTCCGTGCTCATCAGTGCCTCGTGCGAGTGCCCATCAGTGCCACATATCAGTGCCTACCAGTGCACATCAATGCCACATATCAGTGCCCATCTGAGCTGCCTTTCAGTGTCACCCATCAGTGACAGTCAGTGCCACCTATCAATGCCAATCAGTGCCATCTATCAGTGCTGCCAATCAGTGCCACCTATCAGTGCCAATCAGTGCCGCCTATCAGTGCCAGTCAGTGCTGCCTATCAGTGCGCATCAGTGCTGCTTATCAGTGCCAGTCAGTGCCCACCTATTAGTGCCAGTCAGTTGCCTTTCAGTGCCATATATCAGTGCCATGTATCAGTGCTGGCTTTCAGTGCCCATCAGTGATGCCTGTCAATGCCCATCAGTGCCACCTACCAATGCCTCCTCATCAGTGCCACCTATCAGTGTCCATCAGTGCAGCCTATCAGTGCCCATTAGTGCAGCCTCATTAGCGCACATCAGTGAAGGAGTAAAATCACTTATTTACAAAAGTTTATAACAAAAACTAAGAAAAAACATTTTTTTTTTCAAAATTTTCAGTGGTTTTTGGTTTGTTTAAGAAAAAATAAAAATCCCAGAGTTGATTAAATACCACCAAAATAAAGCTCTATCTGTCACAAAAAAAATGATAAAAATTTCATATGGGTACAGTGTTGTTTGACCGCGCAATTGTCATTCAAAGTGCGACAGCGCTGAAAGCTGGAAATTGGCCTGGACAGGAAGGGGGTATAAGTGCCCTGTAGGCTAGTGGTTAAAGGAATTTTGCATTTTTTATTGTTTTACTTTAGGTATTATTGCTAAAATGCTGCTGCCCACCAAATGGAAATTTTATAATTTCTTTTTACTTTGGTACATGTCCCCCAAGACAATGCCAAGTGCCCCAGTTGCCGTCCCCCCATGTCATTTGTTTGACAGTCCCTTGCCTATTAGCCTAGGAAATGCCAGAACTGATTTTTAACATTTGACTCCCATTGACATAAGTGGGTTTTTGGCTTTGTCAGGCAAACATTTGGTAATGTGCGCAGAACCAGCTGCAAACCGAACCCAGGTGCGTTCGGTTCATTTCTAATCACCAGTACTCACCACACTTGCTTATGACATTGCTTATGAAATTCACCCTGTTAAAAATGCAAAAATTGTAAAATCCCAATTACAAAAAAAAGTTGGGACACAGTGTAAAATCTAGATAAAAACAGAATGCAGTGATTTTGCGGGAAGCACAGTGATTAAATGGTCTGCACTTCTGCCAGCACTAGCGTCATTGGTTCGAATCTCAACTACGGCACCACCTGCCTGGTGTTTGCTTTTTTACCTGTAACAAAGGGTCCAAGCGCATAGTCTCAAATCTGGGGACCACTTGTCCACTGCTGCTAGTGTCATACTGAAAGAAGTGATAAATTAATGCCCAAGAAACAGCGCTATGGAGACTGTGGCTTTAAAATACAAACCTCACATAGAGATATGTCTTTATTGTGCAATTTCTTAAAATTATGTCCAAACAACATCCAGGGCAATGGTAAACCCAGGCTGTAAGGTGGAATGCCCGCTCACGTGCGTCCCCGGCCAGGAAGAGATGGTCTCCTCGGAAGTGGAACACAAGCTTGGCTGGTAACCACGACAATGCATTTCATGTGCATGTGCTTTGTCAAGTCCATCTTCTAGTCTAGTCTAATCTACCATGGTTACCATCTTTATTTATTTGGATTAAATGAACAACTGGGCTGGTGATCAACAGGGGAGACCTACTGAACTTCAAGTTCAACTATTCATCGCAGTATTGGATCTTGCGAGTGTATAAGTGCTGTGCAAGGGGAATGTCCGCTCTAGCTCCTCCCCTTTTGATCGTCGGCCCACTTGTTCATATAATTCACATAAATGAAGCTGATAACTACTGACTGACTTGACAAAGCACATGTGCGCGAAACGTGTTGTTGTGGTTACCAGCCGAGCATGCATTCCACCCCTAGTGCTCTACTTCTGCTTCTTCCCCGGTCGCATTGACGTCACTTCCGAAGTGCCGCGATCCCCGGCCGGTCCAGGAACACACCGAGGAGACCATCTCTTCCTGGCCCGGGGACGCAGGTGAGCGGGCATTCCACCTTACAGCCTTGGTTTACCATTTCCCTGGATGTTGTTTGGACACAATTTTAAGAATTTGCAAAATAAAGACATACCTCTATGCGAGGTTTATATTGGTTTTAAAGCCACAGTCTCCATAGCGCTGTTTTTTGGGCATTCATTTTTTTACCTGTGCCTGCGTTGGTTTCCTACGGGTATTCCGGTTTCCTCCCATACTCCAAAGACATGCTGGTATGTTAATTGGATCCTATCTAAATTGGCCCTAGTACGTGTATGTATGAATTTGAGTTAGGGACCTTAGATTGTACACTCTTTGAGGGTTAGGGACTGATGTGAATGTAGAACATACTGTATATATGTAAAGCACTGCGTAAATTGATGGCTCTATGTAAGTGCCTGTCAAAAATAAATTAGCAAATTTCATAAACCCATATTTTATTCACAATAGAAAATAGAAAACATTTCAAATGTTTAAACTGAGAAAATGTATCATTTTAAGAAAAAAATATGGTAATTTTGAAATTGGCTAGTAACAAAAATGAAGCAAATATCCGTTTCAGACACAAATTGATCTGATAGGAATTATATATAGATTAAGATGTATAACCATCTTATAAGGTCACCATCAAGTCCAGATGGTTGCTATGCACTAGCATTAATTAGCATATGTCCAATAGAATATTATAATGCAGGTCTGAAATCTTTTGGCCCCTACAGACTGGACAGTTTTCATTTCATAAGCCCATCATAAATGTACCAAAAAAGTGTTCCTGATTTAAGGCTTACACTTTCTTCTCTGTTGATAATGGGTTCCTTAGGTGGAGCACTCTGGGCACCACTGAGTTTTGGGCAAGGGTCATGGTAACTAAGTAATTTAACTTGTTCAAGGATGGGCATATATCTTCTCGTCTGCTGTTCTTTTGGAAGATATCTGCAATAGGTTTTCATTAATCTTTGTCAGTGCGGTTAGAAGAACTAGTATTTAGCATTATTCAATATCTGTAAATGTGCATTCCACTGAAGGGAAGCCCCTAGAAGGAATGTACTGGAGATGCAATTTATTTAAATTTCATGTTACATAACATGACATACCAAATACAGTTAGTTAATCTGCATCATGAAATTAAAAATTAGTGAAGCGCTTGTATCACATGAATACAATCATGTATCTCCATATAGTGTAATTATAAATCAAAGTGACCACTATATATAATAAATGTGTGTTGACTCCCTCTAGTGAAAAGAAAAAATAGTGTCAACCAAAATAGCTAAATAACACACATTAGGAAACTAAATATATAGTGCATAAATCAAATATAATGAACAGAATATATATATACGTGAAAACAGAATATTGGCCACATACAATGGTGTCTAAATTATACATAAATGATATATGCCATAGGTGAACAAGACAATATCAAAGGTGAAAAAAATATTCCATGCATGTGACTGTGCTTTAAGCTGGAACACATACGTGATCTCCACTTCTAAGTGCAAGTACTCTCCTTCAAATGGCAGCAATGCCTGCTCACCTCCCTTCCTCGACCCACACAGGGCCTCAAAGCAGTTACCACCTCAGTGGTGTATTCCTCTGGCAGACTCCTTATTCCTCCTCCTCTCTTATGCAACTCATAAAAAGACAAGAAAGCCTTCCATAGTGTAGTAAATTTAATAGGCAAAGTTAAAAATTACAAAGTTTTCCACTCACATGCTCCTTTCCATAAAAAAGCGTTTTTCCCCAGCCTGTGGGTAGATATGCATGCACCTGGGGGAATCCAATATGGCCACTGTGTCCGGACATACGTCACCAGGAAGTAGACAAAGTAGTGGTTTGTCTACTTCCTGGTGACGTATGTCCGGACACAGTGGCCATATTGGATTCCCCCAGGTGCATGCATATCTACCCACAGGCTGGGAAAAACGCTTTTTTATGGAAAGGAGCATGTGAGTGGAAAACTTTGTAATTTTTAACTTTGCCTATTAAATTTACTACACTATGGAAGGCTTTCTTGTCTTTTTATGAGTTGCATAAGAGAGGAGGAGGAATAAGGAGTCTGCCAGAGGAATACACCACTGAGGTGGTAACTGCTTTGAGGCCCTGTGTGGGTCGAGGAAGGGAGGTGAGCAGGCATTGCTGCCATTTGAAGGAGAGTACTTGCACTTAGAAGTGGAGATCACGTGTGTGTTCCAGCTTAAAGCACAGTCACATGCATGGAATATTTTTTTCACCTTTGATATTGTCTTGTTCACCTATGGCATATATCATTTATGTATAATTTAGACACCATTGTATGTGGCCAATATTCTGTTTTCACGTATATATATATTCTGTTCATTATATTTGATTTATGCACTATATATTTAGTTTCCTAATGTGTGTTATTTAGCTATTTTGGTTGACACTATTTTTTCTTTCACTAGAGGGAGTCAACACACATTTATTATATATAGTGGTCACTTTGATTTATAATTACACTATATGGAGATACATGATTGTATTCATGTGATACAAGCGCTTCACTAATTTTTAATTTTATTTTGCACTTATTGGTATCAGCTAAGTGACAGCAGCTGTATTTTGTCAATTATTCCCATGAGCGCAGGAGGATCCCTTATTATTTAATCTGCATCATGACCATTGATTAATTCAAGGAAATGTCGGTATATTTTCAGTGAGCAAAGATTTTGAGTTATTATCGCAATGCTCCTCTTAAAGGTTTTTTTTACATGAATGTCACATTCTATATTTCTGCTTATTTTCATGGTATGTTTGTCATTGTGTTATTAATAAATATTTGTACACG